TACAGGAAAGAATTTGTTCTCTGTGTGTGTTTATGTGTGTGTTGGTGTGTGCATCCGTGGGTCTAGAGCAGGGGTAGGCAACCTTGGCTCTTTTATGACTCGTGGACTTCAACTCCCAGAATTCCTGAGCCAGCATGGCTCAGCATGGAAACCTCTCCATTTCTCCTCAGCATGGCTGGCTCAGGAATTCTGGGAGTTGAAGTCCACGAGTCATAAAAGAGCCAAGATTGCCTACCCTTGCTCTAGAGCAGTGTTTCTCAACCTTGACAATTTTAAGGCATGTGGACTTCAATTCCCAGAATTCCACAGCCAGCAATGCTGGCTGTGGAATTCTGGGAGTTGAAGTCCACATGCCTTAAAATTGTCAAGGTTGAGAAACACTGCTCTAGAGAGAGCAAGGGAGAGCAGGCGTATGTGTGCTGGCTGAGGAATGGTAGAAAGAGTGGTATGTAAATATTTTAAATACATACAATTTCTCCCGTGTGCTAGATGATGACTTACCATTGGTATTTGCCAAAGCTGGCTAAACATTTACCTGGTGTCACCTTTCCTGGAGACCACTGGAATCCTGTAGAAGGGCCATTACCTGACGGAACAACCACATTCAACCTTCATCACTTCCTCAAAGTAAATAGACAGTAAGCATTTCTTTTCACCTACTAGCATACAGACACACGTGCACGCCTGGCTAAATACATACCTGTCTTCTTATTCCCTGCCATGTTAAACAGTGTTATACAATGTGCATAAAAAGGAGTAAATGATGTAAAGTCAAGGGTTTGAAAGAGTTGAGATAAAATAAAAGGAAACATAGCTAGCCTTAATTTATGTTTACTCTCACTTCTGTATAACAGTGAGGGCCATTTTTACATGTAGCCATAGATGGCCATTTTCACTTCTTCACAATAGAATAGAATACACACTATCATCTTTTGTTTCAGTATTTGCATTTAAATGCTTAAACATTCATCCATTCTACCAAGGTATACAAATTCATCTACTTGCTTGTTTATTACCATGTGTGCATAATTTGCAGTA